ATGTTTTTATTCTATAAAGTCAAACTTTGTTAAACTGCGTATCACGTTTTTCATGATCCAGATCTTATTATTGTCTTCGTGCAGGTTGGGTTGGGTTGTGTTTTTAATGAAACGGCCATGTTGTCTCCATAAACCAGGAACCAGCCTCAGTTTCATGTTTGGAGCCACAGTGTCGATGTTTCAGAGAAGATTGTTTGTTCTGAGTCTCATCTGGTGAATGTTTCTCCCCATCAGAGTGGATCCTGCCTCAGCTGTTCATCTACCCGTCAGACCCATCCTCAACCTGGTGTGCCGAGGACTCGCCGTCAACGCCAAGAGCATAGTGAGCAAACAGACACGATGATCCGAGCTCCTGCTTCCTGATGAGGATCAGTTAGACGTTTTAAAGCCGGGATGCATAGATAGAAAATCTGGAGCGATCAACTGATCTCATAAATTCCCCAACCCTTTGGAACCACAGGGAGTAAAGATCTCTGCTTCTTCTGTCCCACAATCCTTTGCTGCATCCGCGTCACATGACCAAACGCAGCATGAAAAACAGGAAACATCAGCCCAGCTTTAGTTAACAGACCCATTCCAGGATCGGCCCATGCCGATCTTTGGAGCCTCCCTTTTGGTTAAGCAAACATGTCCTTGAAATCCTGGAAAGTTTTGGAATTTTTAAGAATGGGCATTTGGGTTTATGTGAGTGATCTCTATTTATCCACTGGATTGCTGATTTCCCGTTGGTAGTACGGGGTTGCAGTGAAGCCGCCGGCCGCCATATTGGTACTCCCTAGTCAGACCGGTCCCAATGTAAACAATCTGTGCGCTGCAGCATCGAACAACCATGATGTTCTGATTTTCAGGGGCTGAAGACTTAAAAAAAAAAATCAGCCCATCATATTGCAGAGTCATTATGAAGTCTGTAAATCATGTAATATAACATATATATTTATATTTATCAAATGCTTTAGTTGCTTTTTTCCACCAATATAACCTGCAATATATTTCAACTCATGACTTTTTCAAATGAGGAAAAACAACAAACTCTACATAAACGACAGCATCATCCACTGAATAAGCAATTCCTACATTAACGTTTCCCAGTGAATTACTTTCTGTTTCCTCTATTTTCTAACCTTAGACCCAATGTCAGCGTCTAACTCAGTCAGTGTCTTCCAGTCAGTCTGAGATAGCCAGACTAATGTTAGTCTGCAGACTAAACTATAGGATCCATCGGCTATAGATGGATTTATTGCTTAGTTCATCCTCTGACTGGGAAATGACCTGAGGAACGTCTTCCTGCAGACAGAAACCTGCTGGTTTTAGCAGCTAAATGCTGCAGGGAGACATTTTACTGCGTATCGGTGGCTTCACGTCTTTTTGATCAATCAGCAATCCAGGGACAAAAAAATCGAGATCAGTGGTTTATATG